TTTTTTGAATGCTTGGAAGCAAGAAAATCCCTATCCATATGGTAGTTATTACTTTCGTAACATTAATTTCCCCCCCCTCAGGTAGAAACACAGTTCAACAAACAACCTCATGGTGTTATCTTCAAACATCACTCAACTGCCAGGTACGCAGTGACAAACAGCACGGAAAAACAAGCAAGCACTAATCTGTTTCCCCAGGCACACTGTGTCTCACTGGGGGAAATAAAGAATAAATATGTATTCTGGGCCACAAATAGCATGCCGAATCAAAGAGAGTTTGCGTAGCCCCTGGGTTTACTTTGGCAACAGTTCACTCCTCTCCCATCCCAGAGCTTCCCATGGTATCAACAACCTCCATCCAGGCTAGGCAGCGAGTGTCCTGGAGTAACTACAGAGAACCAGCCTGGGCTTCCTGACACGCTTCCTCCTGGAAGAGCAGGGTAGAGGCTAGTGTCCATCTGTGACCATGGCAGTAGCTGGCCCAGGTACAGCAAGCCCCTGAAGGCCACTCTTGACTTCCAGGCCCTTTGGGTGTCTTGGTGTCATGGCTACTAGAGGGTCAGGTGACTCTGTCAGTACAGACATGATGCAAGAGGGGACGTGGTCTCCTTGTCTTCAGTTGGGACCCAAAATCCATTCTTGAGACTTGAGGAAATACCGTCATCCTCAAGTCTCTAATGAAGGAGCTTCCGTCCACATGAACAAGCGCTGCAACAAGAAAAGACCACTCATGGAGGTTTCTGACATTCTGGTCATGCATGATAGTGCGCACCCATAACTGTAGCACTTGGGGTGCTGAGGCAGGGGGATCTTATGTTTAAGATTACTTGTCTGCTCTCTGCCTCCCCAGTGGTGAGGTGACAGATGAGCACCACCGTGCTTGGCTTTTTGGAAAGATGACACCTAGGTCCTCAAGCTTGCGTATCCCAGCCCTCTGTGCCTCATACAACAAAGGAAAAGCAGCATCAACAAGAGGGGATGTCCTGGAGTCAAATCCAGGCATAAGGCAGCTTCCACTGGACCAGATCTTTTGCAAAACTGTCAGAAAGGTGCTTGGACCTCGGGTTCTGTGGGCAAGAGGCCTCTTTTGTGGTGCGCCAGGAAATGTGACTGGGGATTTGAGCCTGGGATGAGTTAGAGAGAGGAGCCACGTGTTAATGATCGACGGGCATCCGTTTTCATGGGGTCTCAGAGGCAGAGAACGCAAGATGGGGGCACCCACAGGGAGGGAGGGAGGGGCTTAGCTCCACTGTGCTGCCACGCCACATCCAACAAGAACTCAGACGGGATCCTGCAGCGACTCTTTCCTCTGAGGGCACAGATGCCTTTGTCTCCTAAAAAACTGTTCCCTTTTGTTCGCTATTTTTAAAAAGCCATGCTAGCCTGGAGACACGGATACACTCCCAGGAAGAGGACTGAGCCCGGACACATTGCTACAAAACTACAAACAAAACGAGAGGAAAAGGCTTTGATATCAGCCCTCAAAGCAGCAGGGCGAAAAAACAAAGGAGACTCCCTCACAGGCCTGAGCGCTCTGTCCAGAGACACACCATTGTCTTCAGAATGTCTGGCTCAACTTTGAAAGTTCAAGGCTCTCTCCTTGGCTCTTGTGTTACTTCCTCCAGTCGTAAGAACACAAATGTGTGAGAACTCTTGCTGAGTCCGCGCGAAGAGGCCACATTTGACCGATCTCCCAAGGCTACCTCCCAGGGACAACAGCCACAGTCTCATCAGTGTCCCTGTCCCCTATCCCAGTCCTCTCTCCGCAGCGCACCGTGTAACCTGGGTCATCAACCTCTCTCAGCCCCAGAGCACGTACAGACATCCTAAGAGGTCCAAGGGTCACTTCTCCCTCGCTGGATACCCATTTTTTTTCTTCCCCTGAAGTAGTGTCCTTTCAGAAGCCCTCAAGGCCTAGACTGTGTCTACATCCAACTATGTTCTGTGGTCAGTGGTACTGCACCGCTCAAGACGTGTCGCTCTGTTGACAGCCGGGCTGTTACGCCTGCCTTCAGAGCCCAACTTGACACTCTGAGGCCCCTCCCAGCCAATGGCTCCTACGTCCACCCAGTGCCGCAGACAGACTTAGGGATGGATGCCTGCCCTCTTCAGCTCCCGCTCACCATATCTAAGAAATCAGTGGACCCTGTCAGTGGGACACCGAGATTATCGAATCTTCTGTTTCACGTAGTGTCATGCCCTGACCAGCCTCCCTGCCTTTTGCCTCAGCCACTGCCCTTCCTCTCCCTGATTCTCTGAACGGGAAAGTGTCAGCGTGTGTGTGTGTGTGTGTGTGTGTGTGTGTGTGTGTGTGGCTGTGAAGCAAATATGATCCTCCAGCTTCCCCGTTCCGGAAGCTTCTTGTGATACTGAGGGTTAAGCACCTGTCTCTCCCCGAGGGAGCTGGGGCCCCTCGCTCTCTTACAGAGACAGAGGGCTGTGTGTGTGGCTCCAGGACTGTTAGCAAGAGCCACCCCTTCCTACCCTTGACCTCCTCCTCAGCCGTCTTCCCTATCCATGGGCCTCCTGGGTTCTCCCTGAGCACTGACAGAGGGAACAGCTTGCTTTCACCTCAGGCCGCTCATCACCTAAGGAGCTGCAGAGGCACAGTGGCAATGTGTCCCCTTCATGCTTGTTTGAGACAGGGCCACACACAGACCACACTGACCCGGAACACGGGATCCCCCCCGCCCACTAGCTTCCCAAGTGTTGGGGGTATAGGCATATACCACCAGGCCCAGTCTGACCACAGCCTTTTTGGGTTCTGAGGCAGAGTCCTGCCTATCCACGCAGGAAGGATAGAGGGTAGGTAGATGTGCTTCTAGGGTTGAGATTAATCTCTTCATCAGAATTTCCTGTCAGTTTGGGGGTCTTTTTCAACGGCACTTAAATGTTTCTGAACTTGAAAGTTATCTTTAAGCAAGGTAAATTCTGCTGATGCTTTTTACTGGATTCCAGAAATTCTGAGAGCCATCTAGTTCACATGCTCTCAAACACATAAACCCAAATCTGGCCATATGCACCATAAGGATGTGTGTGTGTGTGTGTGTGTGTGTGTGTGTGTGTGTGTCTGTGTGTCTGTGTACTCACACCTGGTACAGTCCTCCTTTGGTTTTATTTCATCATTATACATGCAGTTGAGTCTAATTGTTCAGTCCAATGACTATTTATTGACCCTGCCTGTTAGAGCATGGGGCAATTAGGTGCATCCAGAAACAAAAGAACATGGAGTGGTACAGGCCTATAACCCCACCAGTGCTTGAGAGGCAGAGGGAGGCAGACCTTTGTGAGCTTGAGGCCAGCCTGGTCTACATAGCGAATACCAGGCCAGGGCTACATAGTGAGAGAGACCCTGTCTTAAAAACACCAGGCCGGTGGCCCCAGGTGAAAGGTGTATGCCGCTGAGGAGCCTCGAACCTAGAGCTGGGGTAAGCACAGGTGGTCCACACCAGAGGTACTCAATCTGAGAGAGGCAGAGATGAAGCAGGGTGGGGGGCATGCAGGGCTGGGGCATTAAAACACAGAGAGCTGGGGCAGAGGAACTAGGAAGGCCCGAGAGATGAGAAGGATCAATGCAGAAGCCTGAGGGGCCCGAGGAGCTGCCCAAGAGCAGGGGCAGAGTGTTTCATTCATGGCATTTTGTTTTTTGAGACAGGGCTTCATGTCGTCCAGGCTGGCCTGGAACACATGCTCGTCCTGCCTCAGCTTCCGGTATGTTTGGGTAGTTTATAGGTGTTTGCCGCCCAGTACTCATGGGTGAAGGGATCAGATTTCTTCTTTCCCCAGAGCCCAAATGATCCCAATTTGTTCCTCCACTGGCTTCACAGTACAGGGTCCTGTTCTCTGCAAGAGTAGTTAAGAACTGGGGCTGAGTGCGCTCAGGGCGTTGGCGGTTCATTTGGAAAAGGACTCATCCTGTGCACCTGCTCTACCGTTTTCTTGCAGGTTTGAGCACCTGCAGGTCGGGGTTTCAACAAGGACTAGTGAGGCAAAATGAAAACAGGCTCACAGAGCCCAGAGCCCTGCGAGGGTCCAGTTATCTTCTCATGCAAGTCACACTAGGTTCCAGACACGCCCGAATAGCATCTCCACTGCTGGAGACAGGCTTGCTGGAGGTGGTGTGCTGTCTCAGCTCGTATGTATTAGGTATGTCCTAGTGTCCACTCCCACTTCATAGAGGCAAACGAAAGGCCTGCTGGAAGGACAAGCAGAGGCCACTGTTCCCAGAGGCCATGGATGCTCAGGGCGCACATTCACATCAACCGTGTGGTTAGCATTGCTCTGGAAGGCCCCCTTCTCACCAGCTTTTGCCATCAAGAATCTGGAGGGAAAAAAAGAAGGAAAAGGTGGAGGTGTTTGGGGTGATGATGGCGCAGTTGGTAAACTGCTTGCCTTACTAGCATGAAGGCCTGAGTTCAAACTCGCAGAACCTATATTAAAAAAGAAAAAAAAAAAAAAGGAAGGAAAGAAGGAAGGAAGCTAGTTAGGTGTGGTGGCACAGGCTTATAACCCCAGTGCTGGGGAGGCAGAACCAGGCAACCCAGGGGCTCACTGGCTAGGCATCCTAGCCCACTCAGCAAGTTCCAGGCCTATGAGAAACCCTCTTTCAAAACATAAAGGATTAGGGGGAGGCACAGTGGTGAAGAGCACTTTTTGCTCTTGCAGAGGACTCAGGTTCAGTTCCCAGCACCCATATGGTAGCTTACAACCATCTGTAACTCCAGTTACAGGGGACCCAATGCCCTGTCCTCTGAGGACACCAGGTACACACATGGTGCACAGATACACATGTAGGCAAAACACCCATCCACATAAAATAAATCTAAAAAAAAAAACACTTAAAAAAATGAAACAAAGAGGGGGTCATTAAAATGACTCAGAAGGTAAAGATGCTTGCAGCTAAGCCTAGCGACCTAAGTTCAACCCTCGGGACTGACGTAGTAGAAAGACTGACTCCTACAAGTTGCTCCCCCCTCCCCCCGACACACACATTTCCATCTGTAGAAACGTCCAGGTTACTGTGTCTCTGTTGTGTGGCTTTTCATGGGTAGATGTGAACAAACTTCTACTCATATCCAATAGGGCACTGATGGACCCCGTCCCATACAAGTCCGGTTGGTGAATGAATGAGTTCCTCACAGAAGATAGCAGCATCAAAAAAAAAAAAAAAAAAAAAAAAAGCCCCACCCTTGCCTCCTTCAGTCAGTCTTCCACCTCACTATGCCATGTGCGACTAGGGCAGGAGAGTACAGTGGGTAGCACAGGTAGGAGGCGTGACTGGAGCCTGACACTCCCCACTTCTATGAAGGACTGTTAAGAGGTCTTGAGAGGGTCTCACCTGTGCAGATATTCACACCTGCCCTGATTTCAAGATGGAGATGGGAAGACGGGGCTCCACAACACCCTGTCAGCCCTGTGAGAATACACAACACCATTTCAAATCAATTACGGACCAGCTGAAGAGCACTGTGGCTGTGGGTGAGGAAATTATTTGGTGTTTAAAATGAAACTATTCCTGAATCCACCAGTAGATGGCACTCCTGGACAAGATTTCAGAGTCCTAGCTGTTAGAAAAGGAGTTCAGGGCAGGGGAGAGAATGAGCATACACCAAAGCTGCTTTGCAGGAAGCATTCTAAGGCTCTGCTAACCCTGTGAAAAGCAGCAGGGGAGGAGACACACCCTGGGTCTTGGGGACATTCCCTGGACCTGGTTTCCCTTCCTGGAAAGGACCACAGCAGCTTCCCCAGACTCCAGTCCCCAGGTACCAACCCTCCCAACTGTCCCAGGCATTTTGCTGAACACAAGGTTCCCCTCTGCCTTCCTTGTTAATGTTCATTCTTTCTCTGAACGCCAGACCCAGAACAGCCATTTTAACCTGCCTGGTTTCCCCCATGGCCACCTTCCTTGGCCTCTTGTAGTGTCCTTGGCTTAAATTGCAGTTGTGATTTTTACACTTCTGGCTCAAATCAAGGCTCCCGAATGGCTGCTGGGCAGAACCTAGCTACTGTGAATGGGAACAGGCTCCAAAAGATGCAAGGGTTAGCCACCCATAGGTGAGAAGTGGGCAAGTTGCTGGCCTTGAGGTGGGAGGCCCCGAGGGCGCACATCCTGGGCAGGCGAGTTAACACACCTACAAAGCCGGTTTCCTCATTTACAAAGCGGCTCTCAGAGTTGCCACATGTCATTTCAAATTAGGAGCTGCACCTTGGGATCTTAGCAATGTCTCAGTGAGTTGGTGGTATGCTTTTGACTTTCTGAAGGGATCATGTAAAGAATGAGGGGGGCAGGCAGCAGCGGTGGTGCACGCCTTTAATCCCAGCACTCAGGGGGCAGCGGCTGTGAGTTTGAGGCTAGCCTGGTCTACAGAGGGAGTTCCAAGATGGCCAGGGCTGTTACACAGAGAAACCCTGTCTTAAGAAAAAAAAAAAAAAAAAAGGAAAAAAGGAAAAAGAAAAGGAAAGAAAAGAAAAGAAAGGGCAAGTTTTACAACCTTCCCAAAGCCACCAACTTGAGCTATCTGTAAATTTATGACATGTTAATGTTAGTGTGACCTTCTAGCACCTTGGTTGCTTGGGCTGCACAGATTCCATTTTGTCGTTGCAAATGTGTGACTGACATCCTGGAATGGGTGGGTGGGGGCTCCAGAGACATGCCTGGAGTCCTTGGCTCAACACCCCCTGGACATGGGCTTCCAAGGATAGCTTTGACATTCTTGGCTGTGGCTAGAGATGAAGAGATGGTGAGAAGTTTGAACTTCTCCATTGGTCATGCCTCAGGAGTGGGAAAGCCAGAGGTATCTGCTTGGCCGACTAGACTGTTTTGCAAAGCACACCTAGATCAGTGCATCCTCACAGGTCTGAACATTGCATCCCCTCATCCTGGCTTCTGCTTGTTTGTGAGATTTCTTGAGGACCCCTTAGGACAGAGAAGGGAACAGTAGGTGAAAAGGTAACCATGGGGCTTCCAGGTCTGACTTTGACCAGTGACTGGAACTTTTCCCCAACACACCTGTCAGCTCAGATCACCATACTATGCCCTGCAACCAGGCCTGGGGTGACGACAGCCTTTTCAGACTTCTGACCACATTGACTCAAAAGCCCTCTTAGCTAAGATTTACTAAGAATGACAAGCTAAAGCCTCTCACCCTACAGCCTGCCCTTACAATCCCTACAAAGATTTGGGGGTTTCTCTTACTTGGGGGTCCCTATCTTAACTTCACTGAGTATGGAGGTTCCTCTCTTTCAAAGCTTGCTTCTCCAGGTTGGGTGTACCACTAGACATGCTCCTGGCTGACAAGACTCTCCTTGGGATCAGAAGGATATCTAAGTCCAGGAACGGGCTGCTCCCATTCTGGCCTGTTCTTCCCTGCTTCCAGAGCTGATGGATCACTTCACCCTCCGACTTGTTCCTCCAGGTTGGACCATATGTGTACCCCCACCCCACGTCTCCCAGATGCCCCCTGCCCCGACCTCCCAGATGCACAGGATGTGCAGACTGGAGGAAGGCCAGATAATTCCGGAACTTCTTGGTCTCAGCGAGGCAAGGCCTGGATTCCCTGCAGGTGGTGCATCCTGAACTACGCTTCCGGTGCTTTGACCCCAGGCGAGTCCTTTGCATCACTATCTTCCACTTGGGGCAGAAAAGGCAGTAGGGAGGAGAAGCATGGCCTTACAGTCCGGCCCGCCGGCATCCTGCAGAGCGACTTGTGAGGTGTGCTCCCCACCAGCGTAGGGCACTCGGGTGGTCTCACGCAGCCCTAGCTTGCAGTCAGCTTCCCCACTTGCTCTAACAGGCCTAAGGGCGGGGCCCGAGGAGGAGGCGGGGTCACGCGGGGGGGGGTGATGGGTGGGGCTCTTGAGGACCGACCAACGGTGGCAGTGATGGGCGGAGCTTGATGGCGGGTAACGGCGGTGATAAAACGCCCAGGGTGGCGCCGGCGTAGACTCTTTTCTCTGTACGCGGAGAGCCGCTCGGCCGCGCGCACGCCGGGTATCTAGGCCGAGCCGGGAACGCCGAGAGCATGGCCGGCGCGGGCGCGAAGCGGCGCGCGGTGGCGGCCCCGGCGGCGGCGGAGGAGGAGAGGCAGGCGCGGGAGAAGATGCTGGAGGCGAAGCGCCTGGACGCGGACTCTGGGGGCGAAGGCGTGACCCTGCAGCGCAACATCACACTGCTCAACGGTGTGGCCATCATCGTGGGCACCATCATCGGCTCGGGCATCTTCGTTACGCCCACCGGCGTGCTCAAGGAGGCGGGCTCGCCCGGGTTGGCGCTCGTGGTGTGGGCTGTGTGCGGTGTCTTCTCCATCGTGGGCGCACTCTGCTACGCCGAGCTGGGCACCACCATCTCCAAGTCGGGCGGCGACTACGCCTACATGCTGGAGGTCTACGGCTCGCTGCCCGCCTTCCTCAAGCTCTGGATCGAGCTGCTCATCATTCGGCCCTCCTCGCAGTACATCGTGGCGCTGGTCTTCGCCACGTACCTGCTCAAGCCTGTCTTCCCCACCTGTCCAGTGCCTGATGAGGCAGCCAAGCTCGTGGCCTGCCTCTGCGTGCGTAAGTAGGGGCCCGGGTACGGGCTGGAGCGGGGCGGGCGAGGACCGAGGTCCCTGGTCCTACAGTTCGGCAGCACTTTCTACATCCCGCATGTCCACCCCAGCATCTTCCATCTCTCCATTCCTGGACCATCTCGGCAGTTTCAGGGTAAAGTCACAGGTTCCAGAACCCACGTGCGTTTCATTAACTCATTCACAGCGTCTACACTTTCGGGGCAGCCCTCGCGAGACCTCAGTGGGTGCCGGCTCTGATTCATTAAAATACGAGCGGTCTACCTTGTCCCGGATGAGAGCAATAACTCCTACCTCTTGCAGAGCACCACGTGGAGTGGCTGATGTGCCAGTTTCCTGTTTCAGCTTGACTGCTGACTGGTTGCTAAGAGGGAAATTGCAGTTTGAAAAAAAAAAAAAACCACCTTACGTTCTTCAGACTGGCCTGTCATGTGCTGACGCATAAGAAAACAGTAGTAATAAATGTGTGTGGTAGTTAAGGCTGCTTGCTCATTAGGACAGAGCAGCAAAATCCTATAAAAACTGTGAGTAAAGGACTGGCGCTTGGCCGCAGACAGTCTGTGGGTGGGTTTAGGGGTCCCAAGATGTGCCAGGTAGTAGCTGTTGAGCGTAGACCTTACAGGACTCCTAGGTCAGGAAGGATTGATTTCTGCTTTGTAAAAACAATTGGGATATTTTTTCAGGACGGGGTTGGGGTGTGGGAGTATGATCGTTTGAAGGACAACCTGGAAATGGTGCTGCTTTCAGAATTTACAGATGAGTTCATTCAACGGAGACAGATTCTCTGTTTGCTTTAGGAACTGCCTTGATAATGCATATAAGGAGAGGGCGGCAGGGCCGCAGGGGCTACGCTGGAAGTTTTGGGTTGTGAGCCGTGAAAGCAGGGGGCCGCTTAGCCGCTGTGGAGCCGGTGCTGAATGGCAGGCAGTTCCTGTTGGGACTTTGGCCGTGAGACTTGTCTTTTGTTACCGGTTACATAGCTTTCAAGGGTGCTCTAAAATTCTGAGACCTCCACCCTGCTCTGTGGAGACTGACAGGATGATGACATGTAAGGTCTATGTGCTGGTTGCTTAGTTCGTGTGTCAAAGATGCTCATAGCCACAATTGGTCTGCAAAAGCCCTGGGCTGGCAAGGGACAGCCTAGCCTTGGAACAGTGGATGACTGTACTCAGCTAGTCCGAATTTTAAATGTCCAGTTTTCGTCATTAATGGGAATTACTTGGCCTTTAGGCAAGATAGGGAATGGCATGGGTATCTTTAGGGGTTTTTGTTTGTTTGTTTTTGAGACAGGGTCTCACTGTGTAGACCTGGCTGGCCTACGACTTTCCCCTCTCTGCCTCCCATGTGCGGGGAGTAAGTGTGTGCACCACCATGCCAAGCTGGCACGGGTATCTTTAAAGAGCCCACACTCTCTCGTCAAAATGGACCTAGAGAGCTGGTTTCTGCTTCTGCGGGTGCGAGTGAAGTGTGGGGTGCCATGCTTGCCCCTCGGGAGGCAGTGAGGGTGGAGGGTTTACAAGTGTCCTTTGTTTTAAAGGTTTTCTTCCATGTTTTATTTATTTTGCACACTGGTGGAGGTCAGAGGATAGTTTATGGGAGTTAGTCCTTTCCCTTCACCACGTGAGTCCCTAGGATAGAACTCAGATCTTCATGTTTGGCAGCAAGCTCTTTTATTCTCTGAGCCATCTTGCTGGCCTAAATGTCTTCTTTCTAAAAAAAAAAAAAAAAAAAAAAAAACCGGGCAGTGGTGGCACACGTCTTTAATCCCATCACAGAGGCAGGTGACTCTCTGAGTTCGAGGCCAGCCTGGTCTACAGAGTTCCAGGACAGCCAGGGGCTACACAGATAAACCCTGTCTTCAAGAAACCAAAAAAAAAAAAAAAAAAAGGTGAAATAGTAGCATGAATGCATAATTGTTTAAATATTCAACTTATATAAACTTGTGAGAGTCAAGCATGAGATCCACATTCCTGTCGCCTCCGCCCTGAGGCTAATGGTAAAGTCCTAATTGGATCATGATGGACACTGTTTTTAAAGCCTGAGGGGACTCCTCATGTTTCAACTCTTCAGGAAAGCTTCATTTAGGGCTCCAACAAGCTTACACAGCATTAGGAGTTTCCAAGCCTTGAGAATGAAGCTGAGGGTGGGGGGGTGGGTTAGCTCCCAATCCATGGAGCCTAGAGCAAGCCACATTCTAATGGACTTCTTTTGTCATGTAAGGGTTTTGATGGTTTTTTGATTGTTTTAATTAAGAAAAAATTGATAGTTTGAGTGTCTTATCTACATGTGTGTCTGTGCACCACCTGCACACCTTGCCTGTGGGAGACGAGAGAGTCAAAACTGTTGGGACTGGAGTTACAGACAGTTGTAAGCCATTATGTGGGTGCTGAGGATTGAACCCCAGTCCTCTGGAAGAGCACCCAATGCTCTTAACTATTGATCCATCTCTGTAGTCCCGAGACACAAGGTTTTAAAAACTAACGTAAGTAGCTTTCTTACAGTCCTTTGTGGCTGCTCTGGGTAGAACCCTCTGGTAAGTTCTAGAACAGACACACCCTGGCCTGAGTTCTGGAGTGTTCAGGTGAGATCTGTCAGTCATCCTCTTTCTGCTCACTTGGTGTTCACCTGACAGGCGCTGCCGACATTCCGTGTCTGTGAAGCACGGGTGTGAGATTACTGCTGATGCTTTCTAGTTGGAAGGAGGCTTCTCGGCTTCTCCAGCGGAGCCTCACCTCTGCCTGCTTAAAACAGGCAGAAGTCTAGAAAGGGAATCGGGCTCGGCAGCAAGGCGAGAGGACCCCAGGCAGCCTAGTGGAGGCCCAGAAGAGCTTTAAAGGCCTGGGTGTTGGCTCTGGGAGGATTGGACTCTGAGGAGTTTCAGTGTATGTCAGTGAGTGCCCTGTTCTTTCTGGAGGGCACTTCTGGGAAACATAGTGTTCCCTGGCTTCCATGCCTTGGGAAAGGCCCTGAGGCAACACCAAGAGTCAGATTTTTAGAGCAGAGGTCTGATTCCTGTTGGTGGATGCTTCTAGTTCATTGTGCTTGTCTCTCCACAAGTTTCCTTCACCCAGTTAAGACTGTTGGGAAATGACTCGGCATCGGCCCAGAACAAACCCACTTGTGGTAAAGGTAGATGCCCTCTACCTTACAGTGAGTCTGGATCTCTCCCTATATCCTTGGACCTGGTGTGGGAAACTTGGAGAGGAGTCTTTCATAAAGAGTAGAAGACTTGCTTTCCACATCTTTCTGGATGGCCATGTGCCTGTGTAAGTGAGGCCTGGGGGGGCGGGGAGGCTTGTTCTTGCCCAAGCAGAGCACAGTAGCTTGGGTAGTGTCAAGTTGACTTGGAGCCTTACTGTTTCTACTGTTGTGATGAACGCCATGACCAAAAGCAATTTGGAGGAAAAGGTTTTATTTCATCTTACCTAAGCTTGCAGTCCATCATCCAGAGAAGTCAGGGCAGGAACTTGGAGGCAGTTAATTGATGCAGAAGCCATGGAGGAGTGCTGCTTACCTGTTCCTTCCTCATGGCTTGCCTGGCCTGCTCTTTTTATGGCATCCAGGACCACCTGCCCACCCATGGCACTCCCCACAGTGAGCTGGGCCCTCCCACATGGATCATTCACCAAGAAAATGCATTATAGACTTGCCTCCAGGCAGCTCTTCTGGGGGTATCCCTTAAATTCAGAGTCCCTCTACCCAAATGGCTCTAGCTTAGTGCCCGGATATGTCTTGTTGCAGAATCCTACAAACTGGTGCTGAGATTCTGTCTCGGCTGGGATTTATCTAATCTCTCAGGGCCGCGGCTGTCTGTGCTGAGGTGCGCAGGAGTCTAGACTCCAGAACGCAGCACAGGCTCTGGGTGTGGTCAGTTCTCTTCTCTCTGGAGAGAAGCCCTGGATGGAGGGGGTCTGAGCAGGCTCACTGCTCCTCGGCCACCTGTGTCGCTTTCCCAGGCTCTGAGTGTAAAGGATATGGCCTGCTGACTAGTATAAACTGTTGAAGGTGTGCATCCTGTCCTTTTCCTGGCTAGGTGGAGGGTGGGACCTTGTCTGCTAAAGTTTGATCTAAGATGACTGAGAACTCTTGTCACCATCCCAAGAAAGAGAACAACTGGCTGGCCCGGACTCGCCAGTGCCGGGAAACTCACCACCCCTTACTCTCCACCAAATAAGTTGGGCAGGATTTTGGACATTCTTAGCTGACATGTGCCTGGGGACCTGTGACCTGAGATATTTCCCACCTGATATCAGATCAGGAGCATTGTGTTTCTGATTTGAGAAATCCATAAGGACCCTCTGAACCTCCACTTGTAACTCTGGAAAATGGGGGTCCATCCTGCCTGGGTATTGGTGGAGAGTTTGATTTAGCGTGCCCCATGGGGCCAATCACACAGGATATGTGTCGTCTTCTGAACTCTGTCCTGTGTGTCTGTCCCTCTTACCATGGAGCAGACCACAACCCACCTCTGCATTGAGAAAAGGCCAGTGGGTCAGCTGAGTAGCGACTGGAGAGGATGGGGGTGGCATGGCTTTTTGCCCCTTCTCTTCAAGTCACCTGCTGGTTTCTATCCCAGAACTGCCTCTGCTGTAGACCCCACTCCTCAGTCCAGGCCTCTGCAGGCCTGGGTTGGAGTTCCTGGGCACTGCCGCTGCCATGGCTGAGCTGAGGCAAAGGCTCTGGTGTTGCTAAGGCGCCAGTGGCCCCAGTGTCTGGAGCCATAGCTCAATGCTGCCAGCAGCTCAGTAATTAGCACTGAAATCGGCTTTCCCAGCCAGACATGAAAGTGCATGCACACTGAGCAGATGACACCCAGTCACAAGACCTGGGGCCCCAGACATGAGTAGTTCACAGAACCTGTGACCTGGACAGGTGGGAAGTAAGGCAGGCATTTAGGCCTTAAAGTATTTCTAACCTTTTTTTTTTTTTTTTTTTTGTGGTGGGGGGAGGGTATGGACCTCTGGGTAATCCATAGCATGCCCAGGCCCT